CGACAATACCGATCTCCTCTTCCTGATGGGCCTGATTAAAGTTCTCGAGGATAATAGCAATGTACATATTGATAACAATCATGTAGCTGATTATGATGAAAGAAGTGAAATAGGTTATTGCCAAGAGAGGGTATCCGCAGTTTCCGTTCATCTGCCGACTGGTTGGAGTCGGATCGCAATCCGGTGGTTGCACCATCAACGACTCTAACACATCGTTCCAACCGGCCGACGTCATTAATCGAAACAGTAATTGCATGCTTCTACCAAAGGTTTCGAAATTTACCTACGGCAAACGAAGGGGGGGAAAAAAGGAAAAAAAAATGCAAACAGAAACAAAAAAAAAAAAAGAGAGAGAGATTGCAATTAGCATCGTCGTGTTCGGACAACATGTTCTCGAATAGGTAAAAGTACAGGTTCAGAGGGAACGAACGAGAACGTTTTAATGATCTTTACTCACCATGTCGTCGAGTGCGCCTTGCTTTTTAACATGACCAAAGACTGACATGCCAATAATGGCGTAAATGAAAGTAATTAGAGCTAACAGGGCACCGATGTTGAACAGCGCCGGAAGACTAACCACCAGAGCGAACAGCAGTTTACGAATACCTTTAGCTGCTTTTATCAGCCTTAAGATTCTACCGATTCTGAACACTCTCACGACTCGCAGGAGCGTCGGGGACACCGGAAAGTCTACCATAATGTCCTCCATTAATATTCCTAATATCGAAGCCAGCACAAGGAGGAAATCGAACAAGTTCCATGGCACCGTGAAATAATGATAACGGAGCCCAATTATTTTCACGATTGCCTCTAACCCGAAAACGGTCGTGAAAAATGCGTTGGACACTTCGAGAACGAAGAAAATCGGATGAGGCTGATCGTAATGCTCGATTCCCATTGTCAGCATGTTGAGAAATATCAAAATGAAAATTGCTATTTCGAATCTGGAAACATCGTAGTTGGTGTTTAGAAAATCAGGTGTCGACGAGTGGTCGTTTTGTATACTTTTCTCGAAACGAAGGGAAC